CTATGATACAATTATATGAGTTATTAGGATGTCACCTAGGTTGGTGAGATCTGAGGTGACTAGAGAGACCGATACATGACTGGCAGGGTCGTCCACAGATGTTGCATGTATGGAGGGCTACATCTAGTGCGGGAGGGGTGGCGGCAGCGACTTTCCGTTGTTGGCGCATGTCTGCCTCGGTATGTGGTTGGGTTAACTCGAAAGTATTGACACCTTCTCGTGTGGTGATCCTCCAAGCGTAACGGTGTGGAGTAATCGTCTCCCAGGTGAGAGGGTCGATTTGGCACTTTTCAGGTTTGTCTTAAGACTATCCTTATACCTTTTCAGTTGCCCGCCAGTGTTACGTTTACTATTCGTTAGGTGACTGTAAAGTAGCTTATTTGGCAGTCTACTGTCGTTCATGCGGGTAACATGGCCAGTCCAGCGTAGTTGTTCATTGATAATGGAAGCCTCGATAACTCCTACAGTTGGTGTCAGCGAGAATACTTGCATTTGTAATCTTGTCTTCCCAGCGAACTCAGAGGATGGAAAGTAGACTACGTTGGTTAAAGTTTTTGCGTGCCTTAAGGTGCCTCCTGTATGTGACCCATGTTTCGCTCTCATATAGAAAGATGGGCAGGACCACTGCTCTATATACGTGGTGCTTTGTGAATAATTTCAGCTCCCTACAACTGAAGACACGGGTACGGAGTCAGCCAAAGGCTTGAGATGCATATATGACACGATGTTCAATCTTTTCATCGATGTCCGCAGTGGCGGACAGTTGGGAGCTGTGATACTGAAAGTGGGTAACATTAGAGAGGGTAGTAACGTAAAGGTGGACAGATGGTGGTGTGGCTCAGTCAATGGGCAGGCTGGAAGAGAATATGAGTCTTACGTACATTCATCTCAGGACCGAAGTTTTCATACGCACCTGAGAAGGTGTTCAGGATCTCCTGTAGATCGCGTTCAGCGTGAGCGACGAGGGTGAGGTCGTCTGCATACTGAAGTTCAGTATTGAAAGCTGAAGACACCTTTGTTCCTGCCTGGAGTCGTCTTATGATGAAAAAACCCTTCATCCGGTACTGGATGTCCACCCCCCCAGAAAAATTGGCACTGACACAAGATATGGAAGGCAACCAAGAAAATGGAAAAGGGAGTTGGTGCCAGTACACACCCTTGTTTTACGAATGTTTAGATGGGGAAGAACTCATACTGGGTGACATTGTACAAGACACTGCCGTTCATACTATTACGAACCACGCCATCTATTGTGTCATGATCTAACTACCCAGCACTACCGAGCAACGCCATCTAGGGACGTGACCCGAGTATGACTAGTCTTAGTCACCATTCCGGGTTTCCTTCTCCATATCCTGGTTGTTGCGTCACCTCCTCCAACTCTTCCTCATCAGCTCCGGATCGAGGAGAGTTCAGTTCACTCTGGGAAGTGACCACACTTGGATTACCTATCCTGGAAACCTACGGCACAGTGACTACCTACCATCTTCTTCAATACTCAGCCCTACTCGTCAGACACTTCAGCACCGCACTTGAGTATTGTAACCCTATATTACCTCCCACCTCCACTTGCTTCAGATTGTTGATGTTGTATAAATATGTATATACTGTTAAGCCAATGTTGCGTATGTTTAAGTTAAGTTTGGTTAAGGGTAAATTATAGAAAGCTGGATATGTTGTTAAGGAATTTATTGTACTTTATTATACACAACAAAATCTCTCATCCTTTGTCTACCCTTTTATAGTCCGATTGTCTTTGTTTGTTTAGTTTTTTTATTGTTGTTGCCTGTTGGGATCTGGGTAGACTTTTAACTATATTCTAAAGCAGTTTCTAAATCCCCAACTCGTAACAATACCATCGGGGAATTGCCTCACAATGGTGAAGAATTTTGGTGGGCGGCGAAAACGGCTGAGGGTCCGTTAGAGGACTTCCCTGTTGACCGAGTCGAAGGCCTTGGTTATGACAATGAAGGCCATGTACGGGTCACGTAGCTGTTCTGTGCACTTTTCCTACAACTCGCGAGCAGCAAAGATCATGTCAGTGGTGCTGCGTGATGGTCTAAAACCACATTGAGTTTCTGGGAGGAAGTTTTTCGCCTCAGGAAGAAGTCTCTTTAGGAGGACTCGGACGATAATCTTGCCAGCTACGGAGAGCAGCGATATCCAGTGGTAGTTGCCACAGTATGACCGGTCTCCCCTTTTCTTGTAAATATTGACGATGGAGCTTTGGGGATTTCCTCATTTTCTCATATATTCTCCGGGAGAGAGTGGAGACGGCTGGTAAGCAGAGGTCCTTCTGGGTTATACACATCGGCTGGGATTCCGTCAGGCCCTGAGGCTTTGTTACTTTTCATCTGCTTGATGGCAGTAGCTACCTCATCCAGAGATGGAGGATAGCTGAGGTGGGTCAGCTCTGGATGCTGAGGCACCTACTGGGTAGTCAGGACATCCAAATAGGTATTTCGGTTGAGCAACGAATGGTAGTGCTCATTCCAGTGCTGAAGGAAGCCTTCTTCGTGTTTAATTAGGGAGTTATCTTTGGATGAGCGTAGGGGGCTGCGCCATAAGTGATTGGCTCATAAAATGTTTAAGTGGAATTAAAAAATTCGCTTAACTTGTGCTGATCTGCAAGATTTTTTGTTCCCATTCTTTATTTGTCAACCATTCGTTCTTTAGATTGCGTAGTTCGCGCTGGGCTGCCTCTTTCCTTTTTTGGAAAGTATTAACTTTGATCTAAGACTAAGGGTTCTCAGGCAGCCACTTAAAGCAGCACGCTTATCATTGATAAGTACGTTGATTTCCGGGACATTTTCATGTAACCAGTCCTGGTGTATTCTTTCGATCTGGCAGAGGTCTTTCTGCAGGATTTTGTCATGACAGAGTCAACAATACCCCATTCGGCACTGGTATTTGGGTTGTTTGTTGTCGGGTTGCTTATCAGTCCGTGTTCAGGCTCCTCTCTGAAAGCATGTCCTACCGCTGGATTCTCCAGACGCTTAGTGTTAAAACCTCTTCTGGAGGCTTGCTGCCTTCTCCACGTTGGGGCGACGTGAAGTGAGAGCTTGGCTCTGACGAGCCGATGATCAGTGTCACAGTGGTCTGAGCCACGATTGGCTTGGGTGACGAGGACATCTCGGCAATCTCTTTCTCTGCCAATGATGTAGTCAATGAGATGTCAGTGTTTGCATGCTAAGTGTTACCACGAACCCCTGAACTTCTCAGCCTCCCTAAACAAGGCATTGGTGATAGTAAAGTTTTGTGAAGCACACTTGCTGAGGAGGAGTAGGCAGTTTGGATTATAGTTGCCTAGTCCATATGTCAGCATCTCTGCCAACTCTGGCATTAAAGTTACCTAGGAGCACAACCTAATCTTATAAGGGGATAGAGGTTAGCGCTCTGTCAAGGTCGGCGTAAAATAAGACATGACGTGAATGATTCAGTGGGACTTGGGCGTCATGAGGCGCTCGTTCATCCCAACAGGCATTTTAGTTAGCCTGTGTAGGATGCATGGCGGATGGCAAAGTCACCTTTATCAATGTGGTTTCTCACCGCAGAAGGTTTGTTCTTCCAGAAGAATGTATAGCCAGATCCCCGTTCTGTGAGTCGAACCTCGTCTGGGAGCCGGGACTCACTAATTGCTGCTATGTTGATGTTATACCTAGCCAGTACTTTTGCCACATGAACGGTTCTTCTTTCAGGACGCTCATTTGTGCCAATATACAAAAGGGTCCTGACATTCCATGCAGCGACCATAAGAGGTTGTATAGTTTGCTTTTGTTTTGATACGTGATTATGATTGTGATTTCGACCTAGTAAAGATGACCTTGCTGGGTGCGGTTGTCCAGACAGACTGGTTCTATGGCAGTCTGTGTTTAGGGCACCTCTTAGAGCCCTCTCCCCTTGTGGGGTGAGCAGAGTGGCTCCTCGTAAGGGGTCGCACAGACAGGAACGGATTGCACTGCTGCCTAGATCCCAGTGCATAAACGTCCATCTAATCTATGCCACAAATGTGCTGAGTGTTAACTAGAGACTCCTGTCAATCATCTTTGCCTGTCCCCGTCGCCATGGGACTTTTGGGGGTATTAGGGTCTTCATGATGATTAATATTATGAGGTGAATGATGGCCGTGTGTCAGTTGATTTATGTATATGAAGCAGGAACGCAGGTTGAAACCACACATCTTTGCCCTCCCCTTTTCCTGATCCAGTGGTGCAAGTGTTGCAGCGACTTGGGAGAGGGAGAGTTGCAATGGACTGCCGATAGCCTAGTTTGTTGGGTTTCGTCTTTGTAGCCTGTCCATCATGAATTGCCTACGTCCGCTGGTGTAGTAGTTGGGTTCCCATGGTGGTCACATCTTACACCAATGCCGCTGTTGGCCTCTTATTGGAGCCCTGTAAGCATGTCTGCCTGATGCGGGGCTCCACAGCAGATTTTTCGTTCCGGGTTTAATTCCGTAGCCTTATAACTACCGAGGTTAATCCGCACGGCAGAAGGGCAGTGGTTGGTAGGCGCTAGGACACACACACACACACACACACACACACACACACACACATTTGGCTGACAACAGACGATCTTAGTGAGCATAGAGAGAACCCTGTACACAAGAGGCTCAGTCCATGACAAGATATAAAGCAGAACGTAAGAATTAAACTTACAACACTTTGAGGAGAGAGACAAAGATAGAAGTGTAAACAACAGTAGAGAGAGAGAGAGAGAGAGAGAGAGAGAGAGAGAGAGAGAGAGAGAGAGAGAGAGAGAGAGAGAGAGAGAGAGAGAGAGAGAGAGAGAGAGAGAGAGAGATGAACTCATCTTACAGTAATCTCTGGTGATTCTGTTCTCGTACATTTACATTCACAAAAACATCAACACAGAATGTTAATCCACATCTCCCTTCTCCCTCGTCTCATCCCTCCACCTGACGACGACTTCCATCCATTATCTTATTAATATTAACACTTTATAACCATCAACATGAAGTGAAAGTTTCTTTACTTTATTTTTAAAGTAATAAGTGATGTTAAAAGTTTACTTAAGGTTGATATAGAGGTGAGTGGAGGAAGTAGTGTGTTAGGTGAGAGAGTGAGAATCAAGGGGTTGGGAGGAGCTCCAGATGTTGCCTTCACTGTTTTAGTGATCAGATCATAACAAACTTGTTGATATATAAGCCAGCTTCATCTACCTGCTGTTATCAGGTGTGTCTCACCAGCCACTCAGGTGAGACGTCTCCAACCTCTCGCCACAAGTACACTCTAACTTGTACCTAACAAGAACTACAACACAAGTACACTCTAACTTGTACCTAACGAGTACTACAACACAAGTACACTCTAACTTGTACCTAACAAGTACTACAACACAAGTACACTCTAACTTGTACCTAACAAGTACTACAACACAAGTACACTCTAACTTTTACCTAACAAGTACTACAACACAAGAACACTCTAACTTGTACCTAACAAGTACTACAACACAAGAACACTCTAACTTGTACCTAACAAGTACTACAACACAAGTACACTCTAACTTGTACCTAACAAGTACTACAACACAAGTACACTCTAACTTTTACCTAACAAGTACTACAACACAAGTACACTCTAACTTGTACCTAACAAGTACTACAACACAAGAACACTCTAACTTGTACCTAACAAGTACTACAACACAAGTACACTCTAACTTTTACCTAACAAGTACTACAACACAAGAACACTCTAACTTGTACCTAACAAGTACTACAACACAAGAACACTCTAACTTGTACCTAACAAGTACTACAACACAAGAACACTCTAACTTGTACCTAACAAGTACTACAACACAAGAACACTCTAACTTGTACCTAACAAGTACTACAACACAAGTACACTCTAACTTTTACCTAACAAGTACTACAACACAAGAACACTCTAACTTGTACCTAACGAGTACTACAACACAAGTACACTCTAACTTGTACCTTACAACACAAGTAACTAACAAGAACTACAACACAAGTACACTCTAACTTGTACCTAACAAGTACTACAACACAAGTACACTCTAACTTGTACCTAACAAGTACTACAACACAAGTACACTCTAACTTGTACCTAACAAGTACTACAACACAAGTACACTCTAACTTTTACCTAACAAGTACTACAACACAAGAACACTCTAACTTGTACCTAACAAGTACTACAACACAAGAACACTCTAACTTGTACCTAACAAGTACTACAACACAAGTACACTCTAACTTTTACCTAACAAGTACTACAACACAAGAACACTCTAACTTGTACCTAACAAGTACTACAACACAAGAACACTCTAACTTGTACCTAACGAGTACTACAACACAAGTACACTCTAACTTGTACCTAACAAGTACTACAACACAAGTACACTCTAACTTGTACCTATCAAGCCCGCACACACACACACACACACACACACATTAAAACGTAACTAAATGTGTCATCTCTCCTTCCACCAGCCAGACCTCTAACCAACCAACCAGCCAACCAACACCACCATGAAGACCCCTGCCACTCTGACCTCCACCCTGCTGGTCTTCATCTTGGTGATCGCCCTCGCTGGACACGGGGTGTCGTCCTCCCCCCTCCCGCAGCCCAGCAACCGACAAGAACGCTTTTTTCTTCCGTTTAACTTCAACTTACCAAAATTTACAACTACCACAGCTGCTCCTGCTGTCGTTGCTCCTGGCATTACCATCACGTTTGGCAAGAAATAATAATAACATGTATTATCCCGACATCATTTGTCTTGCCACCTCGGTAAAGATGAAACAGTTAGTTGTTAGTAATTTACCTGTTTGGTTCAGTTGTTTCCATAGGTGTTAATGGAGTGACGTCAGTGTGTGTATGACTGAACATTACAAGAGGCTGCTGCTGCCGTGTAGTAACTGGTACTGTAGGCGGGGTTGTTTACACTCCCACAATTATCTTAATAAAACGTATTGTAGTTAAAAGGAACAAAATTATTCATTATTCTTACGTCAATTGTTTATCCATTTATCCTTATTCCTGAGGTTTATTGTCCCGTTAGTACAATAATTTCTCTTAACTGTTGATGTGAGAATTATTTAACTCTTTCACACACACACACACACACACACACATACACACACACACATTCACCCACACACACATACACACACACACACACACACACACACACACACACACACACACACACACTACTAGTACTACTTTGGTGTCACTCGGAATCGAGTATGACGATCATCCAGCTATGATACAATTATATGAGTTATTAAGGATGTCACCAAGGTTGGTGAGATCTGAGGTGACTAGTGAGACCGATACATGACTGGCAGGGTCGTCCACAGATGTTGCATGTATGGAGGGCTACATCTAGTGCGGGAGGGGTGGCGGCAGCGACTTTGTTTTGTTGGTGCATGTCTGCCTCGGTATGTGGTTGGTCTAACTCGAAAGTATTGACACCTTCTCGTGTGGTGATCCTCCAAGCGTAACGGTGTGGAGTAATCGTCTCCCAGGTGAGGGGGTCGATTTGGCACTTTTCAGGTTTGTCTTAAGACTATCCTTATACCTTTTCAGTTGCGCGCCAGCGTTACGTTTACTATTCCTTAGGTGACTGTAAAGTAGCTTATTTGGCAGTCTTCTGTCGTTCATGCGGGTAACATGGCCAATCCAACGTAGTTGTTCATTGATAATGGAAGCCTCGATACTCCTACAGTTGGTGTCAGCGAGAATACTTACATTTATAATCTTGTCTTCCCAGCGAACTCAGAGGATGGAAAGTAGACTACGTTGGTTAAAGTTTTTGCGTGCCTTAAGGTGCCTCCTGTATGTGACCCATGTTTCGCTCTCATATAGAAAGATAGGCAGGACCACTGCTCTATTATACGTGGTGCTTTGTGAATAATTTCAGCTCCCTACAACTGAAGACACGGGTACGGAGTCAGCCAAAGGCTTGAGATGCATATATGACACGATGTTCAATCTTTTCATCGATGTCCGCAGTGGCGGACAGTTGGGAGCTGTGATACTGAAAGTGGGTAACATTAGAGAGGGTAGTAACGTAAAGGTGGACAGATGGTGGTGTGGCTCAGTCAATGGGCAGGCTGGAAGAGAATATGAGTCTTACGTACATTCATCTCAAGACCGAAGTTTTCATACGCACCAGAGAAGGTGTTCAGGATCTCCTGTAGATCGCGTTCAGCGTGAGCGACGAGGGTGAGGTCGTCTGCATACTGAAGTTCAGTATTGAAAGCTGAAGACACCTTTGTTCCTGCCTGGAGTCGTCTTATGATGAAAAGACCCTTCATCCGGTACTGGATGTCCACCCCGCCAGAAAAATTGGCACTGACACAAGATAAGGAAGGCAACCAAGAAAATGGAAAAGGGAGTTGGTGCCAGTACACACCCTTGTTTTACGAATGTTTAGATGGGGAAGAACTCATACTGGGTGACATTGTACAAGACACTGCCGTTCATACCATCGGGGAATTGCCTCACAATGGTGAAGAATTTTGGTGGGCAGCGAAAACGGCTGAGAGTCCGTTAGAGGACTTCCCTGTTGACCGAGTCGAAGGCCTTGGTTATGTCAATGAAGGCCATGTTCGGGTCACGTAGCTGTTCTGTGCACTTTTCCTACAACTCGCGAGCAGCAAAGATCATGTCAGTGGTGCTGCGTGATGGTCTAAAACCACATTGAGTTTCTGGGAGGAAGTTTTTCGCCTCAGGAAGAAGTCTCTTTAGGAGGACTCGGACGATAATCTTGCCAGCTACGGAGAGCAGCGGTATCCCGTGGTAGTTGCCACAGTATGACCGGTCTCCCTTTTTCTTATAAATATTGACGATGGAGCTTTGGGGATTTCCTCCTTTTCTCATATATTCTCCGGGAGAGAGTGGAGACGGCTGGTAAGCAGAGGTCCTTCTGGGTTATACACCTCGGCTGGGATTCCATCAGGCCCTGAGGCTTTGTTACTTTTCATCTGCTTGATGGCAGTATCCACCTCATCCAGAGATGGAGGATAGCTGAGATGGGTCAGCTCTGGATGCTGAGGCACCTACTGGGTCTACTGGGTAGTCAGGACATCCAAATAGGTGTTTCGGTTGAGCAACGAATGGTAGTGCTCTTTCCAGTGCTGAAGGAAGCCTTCTTCGTGTTTAATTAGGGAGTTATCTTTGGATGAGCGTAGGGGGCTGCGCCATAAGTGATTGGCTCATAAAATGTTTAAGTGGAATTAAAAAATTCGCGTAACTTGTGCTGATCTGCAAGATTTTTTGTTCCCATTCTTTATTTGTCAACCATTCGTTCTTAAGATTGCGTAGTTCGCGCTGGGCTGCCTCTTTCCTTTTTTGGAAAGTATTAACTTTGATCCAAGACTAAGGGTTCTCAGGCAGCCACTTAAAGCAGCACGCTTATCATTGATAAGTACGCTGATTTCCGGGTCATTTTCATGTAACCAGTCCTGGTGTATTCCTTCTATCTGGCAGAGGTCTTTCTGCAGTATTTTGTCATGACAGAGTCAACAATACCCCATTCGGCACTGTTATTTGGGTTGTTTGTTGTCGGGTTGTTTATCAGTCCATGTTCAGGCTCCTCTCTGAAAGCATGTCCTACCGCTGGATTCTCCAGACGCTTAGTGTTAAAACCTCTTCTGGAGGCTTGCTGCCTTCTCCATGTTGGGGCGACGTGAAGTGAGAGCTTGGCTCTGACGAGCCGATGATCAGTGTCACAGTGGTCTGAGCCACGATTGGCTTGGGTGACGAGGACATCTCGGCAATCTCTTTCTCTGCCAATGATGTAGTCAATGAGATGTCAGTGTTTGCATCCTAAGTGTTACCACGAACCCCTGAACTTCTCAGCCTCCCTAAACAAGGCATTGGTGATAGTAAAGTTTTGTGAAGCACACTTGCTGAGGAGGAGTAGGCAGTTTGGATTATAGTTGCCTAGTCCATATGTCAGCATCTCTGCCAACTCTGGCATTAAAGTTACCTAGGAGCACAACCTAATCTTATAAGGGATAGAGGTTAGCGCTCTGTCAAGGTCGGCGTAAAATATGACATGACGTGAGTGATTCAGTGGGACTTGGGCGTCATGAGGCGCTCGTTCATCCCAACAGGCATTTTAGTTAGCCTGTGTAGGATGCATGGCGGATCGCAGTCACCTTTATCAATGTGGTTTCTCACCGTAGAAGGTTTGTTCTTCCAGAAGAATGTATGGCCAGATCCCCGTTCTGTGAGTCGACCCTCGTCTGGGAGCCGGGACTCACTAATTGCTTCTATGTTGATGTTATACCTAGCCAGTACTTTTGCCACAAGGGCGGTTCTTCTTTCAGGACGCTCATTTGTGCCAATATACAAAAGGGTCCTGACATTCCATGCAGCGACCATAAGAGGTTGTATAGTTTGCTTTTGTTTTGATACGTGATTATGATTGTGTTTTCGACCTAGTAAAGATGAACTTGCTGGGTGCGGTTGTCCAGACAGACTGGTTCTATGGCAGTCTGTGTTTAGGGCACCTTATAGAGCCCCCTCTCCCCTTGTGGGGTGAGCAGAGTGGCTCCTCGAAAGGGGTCGCACAGACAGGAACGGATTGCACTGCTGCCTAGATCCCAGTGCATAAACGTCCATCTAATCTATGCCACAAATGTGCTGAGTGTTAACTAGAGACTCCTGTCAATCATCTTTGCCTGTCCCCGTCGCCATGGGACTTTTGGGGGTATTAGGCTCTTCATGATGATTAATATTATGAGGTGAATGATGGCCGTGTGTCAGTTGATTTATGTATGTGAGGCAGGAACGCAGGTTGAAACCACACATCTTTGCCCTCCCCTTTTCCTGATCCAGTGGTGCAAGTGTTGCAGCGACTTGGGAGAGGGAGAGTTGCAATGGACTGCCGATAGCCTAGTTTGTTGGGTTTCGTCTTTGTAGCCTGTCCATCATGCATTGCCTACGTCCGCTGGTGTAGTAGTTGGGTTCCCATGGTGGTCACATCTTACACCAATGCCGCTGTTGGCCTCTTATTGGAGCCCTGTAAGCATGTCTGCCTGATGCGGGGCTCCACAGCAGATTTTTCGTTCCGGGCAGTGGTTGGTAGGCGCTAGGACACACACACACACATTTGGCTGACAACAGACGATCTTAGTGAGCATAGAGAGAACCCTGTACACAAGAGGCTCAGTCCATGAAACGATATAAAGCAGAAAGTAAGAATTAAACTTACAACACTTTGAGGAGAGAGACAAAGATAGAAGTGTAAACAACAGTAGAGAGAGAGAGAGAGAGAGAGAGAGAGAGAGAGAGAGAGAGAGAGAGAGAGAGAGAGAGAGAGATGAACTCATCTTACAGTAATCTCTGGTGATTCTGTTCTCGTACATTTACATTCACAAAAACATCAACACAGAATGTTAATCCACATCTCCCTTCTCCCTCGTCTCATCCCTCCACCTGGCGACGACTTCCATCCATTATCTTATTAATATTAACACTTTATAACCATCAACATGAAGTGAAAGTTTCTTTACTTTATTTTTAAAGTAATAAGTGATGTTAAAAGTTTACTTAAGGTTGATATAGAGGTGAGTGGAGGAAGTAGTGTGTTAGGTGAGAGAGTGAGAATCAAGGGGTTGGGAGGAGCTCCAGATGTTGCCTTCACTGTTTTAGTGATCAGATCATAACAAACTTGTTGATATATAAGCCAGCTTCATCTACCTGCTGTTATCAGGTGTGTCTCACCAGCCACTCAGGTGAGACGTCTCCAACCTCTCGCCACAAGTACACTCTAACTTGTACCTAACAAGAACTACAACACAAGTACACTCTAACTTGTACCTAACAAGTACTACAACACAAGTACACTCTAACTTGTACCTAACAAGTACTACAACACAAGTACACTCTAACTTGTACCTAACAAGTACTACAACACAAGTACACTCTAACTTGTACCTAACAAGTACTACAACACAAGTACACTCTAACTTGTACCTAACAAGTACTACAACACAAGTACTACAACACAAGTACACTCTAACTTGTACCTAACAAGTACTACAACACAAGTACACTCTAACTTGTACCTAACAAGTACTACAACACAAGTACACTCTAACTTGTACCTAACAAGTACTACAACACAAGTACTCTCTAACTTGTACCTAACAAGTACTACAACACAAGAACACTCTAACATAGTTTCACTGTCATGTTCTTATGTGTTGTTAATCTTTCACTCACACAAATATTCACTGATGTAGTTGTTCCCCCTGTGTTTGTACAGGTGGAACAAACATAGGTGGAACAAACACAGGGGGAACAAACACAGGTGGAACAAACACAGGTGGAACAAACATAGGTGGAACAAACACAGGGGGAACAAACATAGGTGGAACAAACACAGGTGGAACAAACACAGGTGGAACAAACACAGGTGGAACAAACAAAGGTGGAACAAACACAGGTGGAACAAACACAGGTGGAACAAACACAGGTGGAACAAACACAGGAAATAAACACAGGTGGAATAAACACAGGTGGGAAATAAACACAGGTGGAACAAACACAGGTGAACAAACACAGGTGGAACAAACACAGGTGGAATAAAACACAGGTGGAACAAAACACAGGTGGAACAAAACACAGGAAATAAACATAGTGGAACAAAACACAAGTGAAATCAAACATAGGGTGGGAAATCAAACATAGGTGAAAACAAATACAGGTGGAAACAAACAATAGTGGGAAACAAAACACAGGAACAAACATAGGTGAATAAAACACAGGTGGGAAATAAAAACATAGGTGAACAAAACACAGGTGGAACAAACACAGGTGAACAAACACAGGTGGAACAAAAAACAGGTGGGAACAAAACATAGGACAAACACAGGTGGAAATAAAACACAGGTGGGGACAAACACAGGTGGAAATAAACACAGGTGGAACAAAAACAGGTGGAACAAAACATAGGTGGAACAAGCACAGGTGGAACAAAACACAGGTGAACAAACACAGGTGGAAATGTGCACAGGTGAACAAAACACAGGTGAACAAACACAGGTGGCAAGGCAAGAGTTTGTATTCAGTTGTTGTCATAAATTATTAATATTACATATAATTGATTTTAAAGAGATATGAAGAGAGAGAGAGAGAGAGAGAGAGAGAGAGAGAGAGAGAGAGAGAGAGAGAGAGAGAGAGAGAGAGAATCCTCCCAAATATTGACAAATTACTCCCGCAACAACAACAAAATCTCCTTCATAAACAAACACACAACAAGCACTTAATTACCTTCTCCATACCAACAGAGTCACCAACCAATCACCAAGCGCCTACAATGATGAAGAAGGAATCACCAACCACCAGCATCACCGGACTTGTTAACATTTTTCTCCTGCTGCTCATTACCATAGGACACGTCACCTCGTCCCCAGTACCCCAGGATGAGAACACACGCTCAGGACGTCTTATATTACCTGTGACAATACCACTCACTAATAATGTCTTACCTGCACCAGTCCAGCCGCCGTTCAATCTGTTTAATCCGACTCTCAATATCGTGACTGCTGCAGGGACTTTTACTCCTTGTCTACCGAATATCCTTTGCCCCGTTTAAGACTGAGGAGGGAAGGAGACGTGTGTGTGTGTGTGTTGAGTCAGTTGTTGAGTCAGTTGTTGAGTCAGTTATTGAGTCAGTTGTTAAGTCAGTTATTGAGTCAATTGGTGGGTTGTGTAACTTAAAAATGAAATAAAAATTAAAATCGATAATGTAATTAATTTAAATATATGAACTGGAATAAAATAAATATTTCTTAACCATAAAATGTATTATTGCTTCAACTAACTGTAAACACCTGTCCTATGACCCCTGTTGGACCCATTACCTGAGAGAGAGAGAGAGAGAGAGAGAGAGAGAGAGAGAGAGAGAGAGAGAGAGAGAGAGAGATAAAACACAGGAGACATGAAAGACACAGCACACACACACACACACACACACACACACACACACACACACACGGACACACACGGACACACACACACACACACACATATATATATAATAAATATAGTAACATATTCAAGCCTTAATAACAGATAAAAGAACAAGAGAAAAGAAGAACGTTAACAAAAAAGAATGAAAGTAAAATTGAGAGATTATTTGCGTCCACTTTGTTGTGTGAATATTAAGTACGATAACAGTACCTGCCGAACTGTTGACGCAGGGGCAGACAACCTCAGTACCTTGTGAACGAAGTGATTGATGAAATAACGATCAGCCTACTACCTAGACACACACGGAGAGAGAGAGAGAGAGAGAGAGAGAGAGAGAGAGAGAGAGAGAGAGAGAGAGAGAGAGAGAGAGAGAGAGAGAGAGAGAGAGAGAGAGAGAGAGAGAGAGAGAGAGAGAGAGAGAGAGAGACATGATTTCTGCTATATATGGATAAGCTCAATAAATACACAGAACTTTCCTTAGTATACACATTTGCAAGTTTCCTCATATACAGATCGGTGAATTTTCGCCCCGAAGGTATACACATTGTGATGTATTAAATATTATGGGTTATACAGTAATCTCGCTGCTATAAATGACAACCCTACCTGTTCTACTGTAGGAACAGGTGTAATGATTGTGAAGGATGGTGATGTAGAGACCATGTTCTTCATTGTTATAGAGAAAGGTTAGTATTCTGTTTTCAAAAGATCGCACATAAGAATCTCTCAGAATTTAGACCAAGTTAGGATGATATGTGTTGATGTCTGGATGATATTACCTGTCTAGCGTTACTATACAGTGGATCCTTACTTACTGTAGAGAGGACTGACTGTAGTGTTGTGTAGCACTGTACCGAGACAGTTGTTGCCTCGTATGGAGAGGGAGAGAGTGAACAGATAGTGGTGTTAGAAGGAATTTTATTTATTTGATGAAAACTTGTATATTTTTTTTACCTGCGTCTTTATTATTTTCAATGGCTAATATTTGTGTAGTCACTCAAAAAATATCTATACAATATTGTGTTGAAAAAATATGACACAACGGACGAAGGATTTTGACAACCCTGACGAGACAACAGGAGTCACAGTGTTCATTGTGAAATTCATCGATCACCCCAAGTACAGATAGTTTTTGAGTGACTGTACTGTACATATTATTATTGTTGTAATTTTCTGCCCTTTCTTTCTTGTGGAGTGATAATTGTTTACCATAATTCTTATTTATTTATATTTCTCGAGGGATACAGTTGTATAAGTAATTGTTCACAGACTGGTGCTGCTTTAGTGTTACCAGTGGTCTAACGCTCACAACTCTCTTTCTTCACTCGCCTAAGAATAATTAGAGAGCTGAGGGTAAAAAAGTTCCGTTGGAGTGTTATTCGTTACAGCTGGGCCATATTACAGGTATCAGATCAATTCGTGTGATGAGTCAACCTGGGTTACAGTTCATGGGTTAGAAATTATAAACATATAACATTATTTATTATTATTTATTTTGTGTTTACTTTTGACTAGTTTACTGTTTGGTAAATTAACAATGGCTTATGGAGGTCTAATCAATTTTGACTTCAAAGTGAATCAATGATGAGTTCAAGTTGAATTATATGAATCTATCTCGAAACTACAGTGGAACAACAGCAAACAACGTTAAGTCAATCGTTATTACAACAGAAAAACAAAAGGTAGATCACCAACAACAGAAAACAAAAGGCAGGTCACCAACAACAGCAAAACAAAAGGCAGGTCACCAACAACAGAAAACAAAAGGTAGATCACCAACAACAGCAAAACAAAAGGTAGATCACCAACAACAGACTACTTCTTCCCGCCACATGTTCCAGTAAGGGCACAGACTATGAAGCCACTTCCATCAGCGTTATTCACTTGGAACAGTGTGAGAGCTGGAGGTTGGGTTGTAGTCACTGTTCCTGTGGCTGGTGCTACTGTAGTTGTAGTTGTTGTAGCTGGGATAATTCCAAATTGGAGAAAGCGTCCTTGACGGTTGTTGGGCTGCGGGAGGGGGGAGGACGACACCCCGTGTCCAGCGAGGGCGATCACCAAGATGAAGACCAGCAGGGTGGAGGTCAGAGTGGCAGGGGTCTTCATGGTGGTGTTGGTTGGCTGGTTGGTTGGTTAGAGGTCTGGCTGGTGGAAGGAGAGATGACATATTTAGTTACGTTCTAATGTGTGTGTGTGTGTGTGTGTGTGTGTGTGTGTGTGTGTGTGTGTGTGTGTGTGAGTGTGTGTGTGTGTGTGTGTGTGTGTGAGTGTAACCCCATTATATAACTGTATATTTTTCAGTGTTTTGGCTATGTCCTTTCAGTAAACTGCTAATTATTATCATTATTATTATTATTATTATTATTATTATTATTAATATTATTATTATTATTATTATTATTATTATTATTATTATTATTATTATTATTATTATTAATATTATTATTATTATTAATATTATTATTATTGTTGTTGTGTGTGTTGTACTTTGAGTGTGTCCAACTACACACAAACTTCAATGGTCATGTACTTGTACAGTAACTGTGGATGGGAGAGCAAGTTGGCAAAAAAAAAGGTGACTATAATATTATGAAGTCGAGGATGTGTGAGTGTTTCGTGTCATGAATAAAGTGTTTGTAACTGTACACACAGAACCAAAGCCTGTGGAGCTGAAGATGGCAGATGTCTGCTTGTAAATGTGCAAGTCAGGAGGTGATGTTCGTGATGTGCTTCTTAAGAACACCGCAGCGTGTACTTGTTAGGTACAAGTTAGAGTGTACTTGTGTTGCAGTACTTGTTAGGTACAAGTTAGAGTGTACTTGTGTTGCAGTACTTGTTAGGTATAAGTTAGAGTGTACTTGTGTTGTAGTACTTGTTAGGTACAAGTTAGAGTGTACTTGTGTTGTAGTACTTGTTAGGTACAAGTTAGAGTGTACTTGTGTTGTAGTACTTGTTAGGTACAAGTTAGAGTGTACTTGTGTTGTAGTACTTGTTAGGTACACGTTAGAGTGTACTTGTGTTGTAGTACTTGTTAGGTACAAGTTAGAGTGTTCTTGTGTTGTAGTACTTGTTAGGTACACGTTAGAGTGTGTAATTTATAGGCTCTTAACAGGGCTGAGTTAAATTATTATAATGTTGTAGTGCTTATTGGGGTACAAGTTAAGTGTGCTTGTGTTGTGGTACTTGTTGGGTACAAGTTAGAGTGTACTTGTGTTGCAGTACTTGTTAGGTGCAAGTTAGGATGTACTTGTGTTGTAGTGCTTATTGGGTACAAGTTAGAGAGTGTACTTGTGTTGTAGTACTTGTTGAGTACAAGTTAGGGAATTGTGCTTATTGTTTGCAAGTGCTTGTTAAATTATAAGTTAAGTGCACTGTGTTCATTACTTGGAAGTTAAAGTGTACTTGTGTTGTAGTACTTATTAGGTACAAGTTAAGTTATTACTTAGCCTTGCCCAGTGTATTTAGGTATAAGGATTCTGATTATGCTTGTGTTATGAGTACTTGTTAGGTACAGTTAAGGAATGTGCTTGTGTTGTAGTACTCGTTGGGTACCAAGTTAGGTGTTCTTGTGTTGTAGTGCTCGTTATAGGTACAAGTTAGAGTGTACTTATGTTTGTAGTTCTTGTTGGGTACAAGTTAAGGTGTACTTGTGTTGTAGTTCTTCAGTGGGTACAAGTTAGAATTATTACTTGTGTTGTAGTACTTATTATTAGGTACAAGTTAAAGTGTTCTTAATGTTGCTTAATTAGCAACTTGGAAATTTAGATTCAAAATTATTACTTAATATTTGTAGTACTTATTTAAATTTTCTGGGATTAAAATTAATATATGTTGTAGTACTTATTGGGGTACAAATTCGGAATTATTAACTTGTGTTGTAGTACTTATTTAGAATTTCAATTGAAATTATTACTTGTGTTGTAGTACTTATTGATTTTAGGTTAGAATACTTCTTTTAATGTTTAGTAGTACTTGTTAGGTACAAGTTAGAGTGTACTTGTGTTGTAGTACTTGTTAGGTACAAGTTAGAGTGTACTTGTGTTGTAGTTCTTGTTAGGTACAAGTTAGAGTGTACTTGTGGCGAGAGGTTGGAGACGTCTCACCTGAGTGGCTGGTGAGACACACCTGATAACAGCAGGTAGATGAAGCTGGCTTATATATCAACAAGTTTGTTATGATCTGATCACTAAAACAGTGAAGGCAACATCTGGAGCTCCTCCCAACCCCTTGATTCTCACTCACTCACCTAACACACTACTTCCTCCACTCACCTCTATATCAACCTTAAGTAAACTTTTAACATCACTTATTACTTTAAAAATAAAGTAAAGAAACTTTCACTTCATGTTGATGGTTATAAAGTGTTAATATTAATAAGATAATGTGTGGAAGTCGTCGCCAGGTGGAGGGATGAGACGAGGGAGGGAAAGGAAGATAGAGAAAGAATGGAGACGAAGGAGAAGGGACGCCTCGTGATCCCTGCTCAGTGTGTCACTATTTGAGAGCAGATCTCTTGTTATTCTCGTCTCAGTTGACCTCTACTCCAATAGGTATTGAGTCAACAAGAGAATGAAACCAAAGTGACTATCATGGATCCAGTGAGTTGATAAGAACAATTGTCATACTATTGTTTATTATACGAATTGATCATCGTCATCATCATCATCATCATCATCATCATCATCATCATCATCATCATCATCATTATCACCATCATCATCATCATCATCATCATCATCATCATCATCATCATCATCATCACCACCATCTTCATCATCATCTTTATCATCATCATCATCATCATCATCATCATCATCATCACCATCATCATCATCATCATCACCATCATCATCATCAATACCATCATCACCACCATCATCATCATCATCATCATCATCATCACCATATCATCATCATCATCATCACCATACCATCAACACCATCATCATCATCATCATCATCATCATCACCACCATCATCATCATCATCATCATCATCATCACCACCATCATCATCATCATCATCTTCATCATCATCATCATCATCATCATCACTTCTATCATCATCATCATTATCATTAAGTCTGTTAGAGGTTATTAAACACGGCTATACTGGGGGGGACTGTACTGGGGACTGTACTGGGGACTGTACTGGGGGGACTGTACTCAAAATTGTACTGGGACTGTAAAATTGGGGACTGTACTGGGGGACTAAAATTGGGACTGTACTGGGGGACTGTACTAAAGGAACTGCACTGGGGACTGTACTGGGGACTGTACAGGGGACTGTACTGGGGGACTGCCTAGGGGACTGTACTGGGGCACTGTACTGGGGGACTGTACTGGGGACTGTACTGGGGACTGTACTGGGGACTGTACTGGGGCTGTACTGGGGGACTTCGTACTGGGGACTGTACTGGGGGAGGAATGTACTGGGGACTGTACTGGGGACTGTACTGGGGACTGTACTGGGGCACTGTAATTGGGGGACTGTAAATTGGGGACTGTACTGGGATCAAATTGGGACTGTACTGGGACTGTACTGGGGGAGGAAATGTACTGGGGACTGTACTGGGGACCAGCCTGTGGGACTGTACTGGGGGACTGTACTGGGGACTGTACTGGGACTGTACTGGGGACTGTACTGGGGACTGTACTGGGGACAGTACTGGGGGACTGCAAATTTAGGGGGACTGCACTGGGGGGACTGTACTGGGGGGGACTGTACTGGGGGGACTGTACCTGGGGGGACTGTACCTGGGGGGGGACCCACACACAGACGGAGAACTAAATGATTAAATGCCCAAAAGTATCTCATTACCTGTGTTTTAGGTGAACTAGTTATATATTTACCTGTACCTGTACCTGTAATTATACCTGTACCTGTAATTATACCTGTACCTATACTTATACCTGTACCTATACTTATACCTGTACTTATAATTATAAGTCGATGCCTAATAGACTAATAGAGACAAGATATATTTTATGAAAGCTATTACAGGAAGAGTCATTGAAAAGGTATAACTTACTAAAGGTTAAAGACAAAGTGTGAAGGAGTCATCTGCTTAAATACCATTGATGAAACAACTCGTCCTGATGCCCACGAACATAACTAACCCTTGGAGACTTATTAGTTGTGGTGATTAGAAAAGAAAACTCTTAAGTAGATAAGTGAAATGTATTTGGTTATTAATGAGTTGTAGAATAATTCCTTTAATTTAGTTTTTGGTGGAGTATTCGCCCGTTAACTTGTGATGGAAAATCGAATCCAAGTTGAGTGTGTGGTGGGTTATGATGCGTGGTTACAGACTAGTTGTGTGGCTGAAATGACACGAAAACGATCATGAGTTTTTGTTCTGTGATGTGAGCCAGTAGCTGTTTATGTGTTAAGGAGCCCCGATGATAGTAGGTGAGCCAGTAGCTGTTTATGTGTTAAGGAGCCCCGTTGATAGTAGGTGAGCCAGTAGCTGTTTATGTGTTAAGGAGCCCCGATGATAGTAGGTGAGCCAGTACTTGTGTATGTGTTAAGGAGCCCCGATGATAGTAGGTGAGCCAGTAGCTGTTTATGTGTTAAGGAGCCCCGATGATAGTAGGTGAGCCAGTACTTGTGTATGTGTTAAGGAGCCCCGATGATAGTAGGTGAGCCAGTACTTGTGTATGTGTTAAGGAGCCCCGATGATAGTAGGTGAGCCAGTAGCTGTTTATGTGTTAAGGAGCCCCGATGATAGTAGGTGAGCCAGTACTTGTGTATGTGTTAAGGAGCCCCGATGATAGTAGGTGAGCCAGTACTTGTGTATGTGTTAAGGAGCCCCGATGATAGTAGGTGAGCCAGTACTTGTGTATGTGTTAAGAAGCCCCGATGACAGTAAGAGTAATATAATGTTTCGATTTATTTAGCCACGTAAGAGTGAACTAAATTATATACGGGATTAGTTAAGAATTAGTGAATATTTATGATAAACGAAGGAAATAAAATAGAATCTGTCTCAAGTGAATAATCATGACCAATTTACTTTATAAACTTTGATTTCATACCAAATGTTAATATTTTTTGGTTTTGTAAAAGTATAATATTTTTTTACTTGTATCCTATGAGCCGGCACACCAGTCAAGTTTAGCTATACAGTGGATCCTTACTTACTGTAGAGAGGACTGACTGTAGTGTTGTGTAGCACTGTACCGAGACAGTTGTTGCCTCGTATGGAGAGGGAGAGAGTGAACAGATAGTGGTGTTAGAAGGAATTTTATTTATTTGATGAAAACTTGTATATTTTTTTTACCTGCGTCTTTATTATTTTCAATGGCTAATATTTGTGTAGTCACTCAAAAAATATCTATACAATATTGTGTTGAGAAAATATGACACAACGGACGAAGGATTTTGACAACCCTGACGAGACAACAGGAGCCACAGTGTTCATTGTGAAATTCATCGATCACCCCAAGTACAGATAGTTTTTGAGTGACTGTACTGTACATATTATTATTGTTGTAATTTTCTGCCCTTTCTTTCTTGTGGAGTGATAATTGTTTACCATAATTCTTATTTATTTATATTTCTCGAGGGATACAGTTGTATAAGTAATTGTTCACAGACTGGTGCTGCTTTAGTGTTACCAGTGGTCTAACGCTCACAACTCTCTTTCTTCACTCGCCTAAGAATAATTAGAGAGCTGAGGGTAAAAAAGTTCCGTTGGAGTGTTATTCACTACAGCTGGGCCATATTACAGGTATCAGATCAATTCGTGTGATGAGTCAACCTGGGTCACAGTTCATGGGTTAGAAATTATAAACATATAACATTATTTATTATTATTTATTTTGTATTTACATTTGACTAGTTTACTGTTTGGTAAATTAACAATGGCTTATGGAGGTCTAATCAATGATGAGTTCAAGTTGAATTTTATGAATCTATCTCGAAACTACAGTGGAACAACAGCAAACAACGTTAAGTCAATCGTTACTACAACAGCAAAACAAAAGGCAGGTCACCAACAACAGCAAAACAAAAGGCAGGTCACCAACAACAGCAAAACAAAAGGCAGGTCACCAACAACAGCAAAACAAAAGGTAGATCACCAACAACAGACTACTTCTTCCCGCCACATGTTCCACCAAGGGCACAGACTATGAAGCCACTTCCATCAGCGTTATTCACTTGGAACAGTGTGAGAGCTGGAGGTTGGGTTGTAGTCACTGTTCCTGTGGCTGGTGCTACTGTAGTTGTAGTTGTTGTAGCTGGGATAATTCCAAATTGGAGAGGGCGTCCTTGACGGTTGTTGGGCTGCGGGAGGGGGGAGGACGACACCCCGTGTCCAGCGAGGGCGATCACCAAGATGAAGACCAGCAGGGTGGAGGTCAGAGTGGCAGGGGTCTTCATGGTGGTGTTGGTTGGCTGGTTGGTTGGTTAGAGGTCTGGCTGGTGGAAGGAGAGATGACACATTTAGTTACGTGTTAATGTGTGTGTGTGTGTGTGTGTGTGTGTGTGTGTGTGTGAAGTAACCCCATTATATAACTGTATATTTTTCAGTGTTTTGGCTGCCATGTCCTTTCAGTAAACTGCTAATTATTATTATTATTATTATTATTATTATTATTATTATTATTATTATTATTATTATTATTATTATTATTATTATTATTATTATTATTATTATTATTATTATTATTATTATTATTGTTGTTGTGTGTGTTGTACTTTGAGTGTGTCCAACTACACACAAACTTCAATGGTCATGTACTTGTACAGTAACTGTGGATGGGAGAGCAAGTTGGCAAAAAAAAAGGTGACTATAATATTATGAAGTCGAGGATGTGTGAGTGTTTCGTGTCATGAATAAAGTGTTTGTAACTGTACACACAGAACCAAAGCCTGTGGAGCTGAAGATGGCAGATGTCTGCTTGTAAATGTGCAAGTCAGGAGGTGATGTTCGTGATGTGCTTGTTAAGAACACCGCAGCGTGTACTTGTTAGGTACAAGTTAGAGTGTACTTGTGTTGCAGTACTAGTTAGGTACAAGTTAGAGTGTACTTGTGTTGCAGTACTTGTTAGGTATAAGTTAGAGTGTACTTGTGTTGTAGTACTTGTTAGGTACAAGTTAGAGTGTTCTTGTGTTGTAGTACTTGTTAGGTACACGTTAGAGTGTACTTGTGTTGTAGTACTTGTTAGGTACAAGTTAGAGTGTACTTGTGTTGTAGTACTTGTTAGGTACAAGTTAGAGTGTACTTGTGTTGTAGTACTTGTTAGGTACAAGTTAGAGTGTACTTGTGGCGAGAGGTTGGAGACGTCTCACCTGAGTGGCTGGTGAGACACACCTGATAACAGCAGGTAGATGAAGCTGGCTTATATATCAACAAGTTTGTTATGATCTGATCACTAAAACAGTGAAGGCAACATCTGGAGCTCCTCCCAACCCCTTGATTCTCACTCTCTCACCTAACACACTACTTCCTCCACTCACCTCTATATCAACCTTAAGTAAACTTTTAACATCACTTATTACTTTAAAAATAAAGTAAAGAAACTTTCACTTCATGTTGATGGTTATAAAGTGTTAATATTAATAAGATAATGGATGGAAGTCGTCGTCAGGTGGAGGGATGAGACGAGGGAGAAGGGAGATGTGGATTAACATTCTGTGTTGATGTTTTTGTGAATGTAAATGTACGAGAACAGAATCACCAGAGATTACTGTAAGATGAGTTCATCTCTCTCTCTCTCTCTCTCTCTCTCTCTCTCTCTCTCTCTCTCTCTCTCTCTCTCTCTCTCTCTATCTTTGTCTCTCTCCTCAAAGTGTTGTAAGTTTAATTCTTACTTTCTGCTTTATATCTTGTCATGGACTGAGCCTCTTGTGTACAGGGTTCTCTCTATGCTCACTAAGATCGTCTGTTGTCAGCCAAATGTTTGCGTGTGTGTGTGTGTGTGTGTGTGTGTCTAACTAGGGGAGAGGAGGTGGGTTGAGTTTGAGTATATAATTTGTAGAAGAGAGAAGTCAAGTCAACATAAGTCAGGTCATTTGGTAGGTCAACTCAACACAGGTCATCTAGTAGGTGATCGTAATAGAGGTCAGGTCATTTGGTAGGTCAAGTCAATTTAGGTCAGGTCATTTGGTAGGTCAAGTCAACATAGGTGAGGTCATTTGGTAGGTCAAGTCTATATAGGTCAGGTCATTTGGTAGGTCAAGTCAATATAGGTCAGGTCTTTTGGTAGGTCAAGTCAATATAGGTCAGGTCATTTGGTAGGTCAAGTCAATATAGGTGAGGTCATTTGGGGTCATCGCCAATAAAACACATATTTTTTTTTAATTTGCCTTTATTATTAAGGTGTTCATCATCTGACCTGTGATGTGTAGAGGAGGAGGAGGAGGGAAGAAAGGAGGGAAGAGGTAGCAAAAGAATAAAATATAAATGAAGAAAGTTAGGGAGAAAGAGAGACTACCAGGTAAAGGTAGGAACAATTGATGGAAGATAATAATAGAAGTATGAAGATTACAGGTGGAAGGAAGGGAAGATAACATAGGGTGGGTGAGTTGTGGAAGTCAGGGCTAACCAAAGGGGACATTACAAAGGTACTCAAACTATCCAATCAGAAGCGAACTCGTACCAATAGTTTTAAATTAGACAAATTTAGATTTCGGCGCGAAATGTGTTTGGAAATAGAGTAGTGGACGCGTGGAACAAGTTACCAAATAGCATCATTAACTTGAATACGCTGGATAGTTTCAAACATAGGTTGGATGGATATATGAGTAATAGGGGTTGGGTGTAAATGGGACTGCCTAGTATGGGTCAATAGGTCCGCTGCGGTTTCCTCCATTCTTATGTTCTTATGTAAGGGGGAGATTAAAGGTTGGGGGTTGGGGAGGGTGACAACAACAGCTGACCATCACTCTCACCACAAACCTTCACCTCAACTTTCCACAAGCTTGTTAGTGAACGATTTGGAGAACGTCTGAGGCTGTTGCTTGCTCGTGCTGGCGCTGTGTGAACGGCATGTTGACGCCATAGAAGATGAGTATTCCAGACACAGACGAGGGATGGAGATTAGGATGCGTCAGACACTAATGATGGCGCTGCTCTTATGGTAGGAGAACATTCCTCGTGAGGAAGATATGGATGAAGGCAGGAGACAGCAGCAGGGGTGGGGACCACACACACACACACAGCTGTGGTCATTCCCTGAAGACAAGGAATTATGACTCGTCGGGGATCTGGCCGAAGCCGGCGTTGGAGGACTGGTAGAGTGACTCAGCCTGGTCACAGGGTAAGGCCTCCTGAGGATGGGTACAGACCAGGTACTCCTGACTGAACACCGTCTGGTTCCCACAGATGAAGGAGAACTGGTTGACCTCCAGCACGGTGGCGCCCTCCTCGTCATACACGGGTTCACACACGTGGAAGATGCGACACGCGTTGGCCACGTCGGCATAGTAGCCGTAGGCGCGGTTGGCACAGTCGAAGGTCTGGGAGGCGTCCTGACCCAGGATCTCCAAGTAGCCGTCTGGGAGCTGGTAGGCCATCCTGGCGGAGGCGACAGTGGCGAGGCACAAGAGGGCGGCGGCGACCTTCATGATGTTGTCTGAGGGAGGAGTTGGTTTTCACATGTTAGTTTCTCTCTCTCTGTCTACATACACCTTAAACCTAACCTAACCTAACCTAACGACGACCCAGCAGAAGTAAACATTATTTCTTAACTTCGCTAATTAGCTGTATGAGAGCCGGCCTGACACTGTACACATGAAGCGCTGGTGTGTGTGTAAGACTGAGCCGAGATCATACACAGGACTAATTTACGTGTTCAGGAAGGTCAGTAACGAGAGATGACAGATGCTTCAACCAATGCTTATATGAGTACAAATAATAAATCACAATTCCTTAAATGGAGGCATAATATTAAGCCGAATGCTTCTGTGACTGCAAGCACATCCAGTAGATATGTAAAATGTAAGGAATATTGAAGGAATAAATACGAAATAAGTACTTGTGTGATTACAAACATTAAGTGCTTGTAAGATTGCGTGTTGACTGTAACAAATATCACGGTAAGTGTTTGCATGGAAAGTTTAGATAAGTACTTGCTTGAATAAGAGGAACATGCTGTAAGGACCTCAGGTGATTGCAAGCACAAATGAAGTGTTTTCTCTAGAGTTTCAATCACAAGATAAGCGGTTGGATACATAGAGGCAAATGTGAGTGAGTGAGTGAGCGAATGAGTGAGTGAGCGGATGAGTGAGTGAGTGAGTGAGTGAGCGGATGAGTGAGTGAGTGAGTGAGTGAGCGGATGAGTGAGTGAGTGAGTGAGCGAATGAGTGAGTGCTTACCTACGATGGATTAGATCAGTGCTTGAGGAATACCTTAGTGGTTGTGGTTCTTACGTGTGACTTACCTGTAGTAGTGTAGACGAAGTTCTGACGTGAGTAGACGCTCAAACCTGTTTATATACTTGACACAACCATGACCTCCACCACCTACCAGCTGACCAGGATCCAACAACCTATCCGAACACCATAAAAATTGACCCATCCAATCAGTAGCGATTTTCTCTCACTTTGACTAATCCCACGATGATTTCCCTTCATTTTATTCATTCCAAAGCAAAAATTAAAGACCCCAATTCATGTGGATTTTGTAGCCAGGTGTTCGTTTAGGAGTGTGGAGTAAAGTCGAAGCCGTAGTCAGATCCACGCATCGAAATGAAAATATGGAAAGTAAAATGATACCTGAAGAATGGCCAGCCAAGGTGAGTTAAGTGGTTGTAGTATTATTGTTATTACTATTCTCGTCTTGAGGAGAGGCTTTAAGCACCTGTAATCAAATCTCAGGTAAACATGTAGTAAGGAGTGTTTGTTTACATAGTCGAAGAATCTTTTGTTATGACCTCACCTATAAACAAGGTCAATCAGAAGTGAGTTATCGGATCATTTTCTCCATGTTAGGTCAATCTGGGTCAAGGAGAAAATTATTATCTATCAGGTCATTGGGTAAGGTTAGGTCTAAGGCTCCTAGATAGTTAACGTCAATGCTACCGTAGATGAGGTCAATCTAGGTGTGTGTGTGTGTGTGTGTGTGTGTGTGTGAGTAAATGTATGCAGAACGATTAATAATTTACAGTTCACACACACACACACACACACACACTCATAAAAACACAAGTTAAATGCAAATTATCGTCCTTGACCAAAATATTAAGAAGGATCATTAAAACTTCTCTACCTGCTAACTCTCTACCTGTTAGGGAGAAGAGTGAAGGAAGGAACGAAGGGAGAATGGTGTGTGTGTGTGTGTGTGTGTGTGTGTGTGTGTGTGTGTGTGTGTGTGTGTGTGTGTGTGTGTGTGTGTGTGTGTGTGTGTGCTTTAACATAGGTAATCATGCTAATATGTCCATGTTTATTTGACCTTTCTCCACCCCTGCTCCTCCTCCTCCTCCTTCCCTTTACCTCTCCCCCTCCTCCCTCCCCTTTGCTATCCCTTTCATCCTCCTTCCTTCCATTCCGCCTCCCCTACTCTCTCCAGGAGTAGTAAGAGGATGGGGGGTTGTAATAAGGGGGTGTAGTAAAGGGAGTGTAGTAAGGAGTGTAAGGGGTGTGGGGGTGTAATGGGGTTGTAATGAGGGTGTAGTAAGGGGGTGTAATGAGGGTGTAGTAAGGGGTGTAGTAAGGGGTGTAATGAGAGTGTAGTAAGGGGTGTAGTAAGGGTGTAGTAAGGGAAGTATAGTAAGGGGTGTAGTAAGGGGTGTAGTAAGGGGTATGTGTAGTAAGCTCCCCATCTTCTATCAACACTTATGCATCAAACACACACACACACACACACACACACACACACACACACACACACACACACACACACACACATACACATATCTATAAATAAGAAAAACAAGAACAATAACAAAACAAGAATAAAAACAACACAAATAACTCACACCATCTCTTAATTTCCCTCACAACAAAACCAGACAAACACAAACAGACAAACACAAACAGACAAACAAAAAGAATTACTAACATATTAACCTTCAGTAACTCTCTACTACCAGTTGTTGAGAGGGGGTGGGGAAGAGGGCTAGGGTGAAGGGGGAAAGGGGAAGGAGTGATAAGGGAAGGTAGGGAGAGGGAAAGGGTGAAAGGGTTATATTTTGTGTTAAAAGGAAGGAAGGAAGGAAGGAAGGAAGGAAGGAAGGAAGGAAGGAAGGAAGGACATAGAATCCCTAGAAGGAATTCAGAGGAGAATGATAAGGCTAATCCAGGGCATCAGGAACCTTGAGTACAGGGACAGATTAAAGCATCTGAATTTGCATTCCCTCGAGAGACGTAGAGTGAGGGGCGATATAACCACGGTGTATAAATGGAGGTCAGGGCTAAACAAAGGGGAAGGAAGGAAGGAAGGAAGGAAGGAAGGAAGGAAGGAAGGAAGGAAGGAAGGAAGGAAGGAAGGAAGGGGAGGAAGGAAGGAAGGAAGGAAGGAAGGAGGAGGAAGGAAGGGAGGAAGGAAGGAAAGAAGGAAGGAGGAAGGAAGGAAGGAAGGAAGGGAGGAAGGAAGGAAGGAAGGAAGGAGGAGGAAGGGAAGGGAAGGAAGGAAGGAAGGAAGGAAGGAAGGAAGGCTTTTCGTGATAGGAGAATGAAAGTAAGAGGGAAGAAGGGAAGACGGAAACGAAAGAGAGAGAGAGAGGAGGAAGAGAGATAAGTGAGGGACAGTCAGGTACAGGTCAGAGGGACCTGGGAGAGGTCTTCGCCTGCTCACCTCAGGTCACTTTTACTTTCTGTTTACTGTCTGTCTGTCTGTCTGGTCTGTCTGTCTGTCTGTCTGTATGTATGTATGTATGTATGTATGTATGTATGTACTGTATGTATGTATGTACTGTATG